TTGATGCTCAGTTTGTAATCTTTTTGTCCAAGTATCGTAAACGTTGGTCTTTAAGTAAAAGAATTGATGAAAACTTTATGAAACATAATTCAGTATGGCTTCAAAAAGACTTTATTAAGTCGTTTAAAAATCAGGATAATAAAACTGAATCTATAGTTAGTGGTCGACCTGTAAAATTATTTGATGATTCATCAAATAAGGCAAAGAGTCGTAAAGTAGCAGCTATGGACTTATTAACTTGTTCATCAAATGAACTGTTGTATGCTAGTAGTTGTAATCTTTTTAAAGATAGCAGAAGAAAGGATGCAAAAGTAGTTCGAAGTTTATCTATTAAGCAACCTTTTGATACAGAACATACTCAAAACACTCTAAATGAAGCTCTAGCACTCATATTAGATATTGATATGAGCAAATCTGATTACCAACGCTTGAGAAATAATGCTTTGAGCAAAGGTTGTAATCTCTATCCTGCTTACAATGATATTCGTGCTGCTAAAGAACAGTGTCTTCCTGAAAAAACATTATGGACTGTAAATGATTTTTCAGCAGAAATAAACTTTCAAGCATTAGTCGATCATACAGCAATACGCCTAATACAGTTGCAGAAACAAGTTATTGATTCAATGAATGATCTTGAAAGGTTGATTTTATATTCTAAAGTTGGGTTTGATGGATCAACTAGCCAAAGGATTTATAATCAAGTAACAGTTGAGAAAGAAAACAGAGATCTTTTAGAAGAAACTAGTTTGTTTATTTCTTTGTTTTGTTCCACTTCAGTTGTTTGGATTCATTAATGATAAAAAAATAATAATTTGGTCTAATCCACATCCATCTTCAACTTTATATTGCAGACCAATAAGATTTTCATTTAAAAAAGAAACCATTGAAGTTTTGAAACAAGAGAATCAGTTTATTAACAATTCAATTGCAAATTTGTCTTTAACATTTTGTGAAAACTTAACAATACTTCATAAAATTGAAATAACGATGGTGGACGGCAAAGTTGCTACAGCATTATTTACAGCAACTACATCTTCTCAGTGTTGTTCTGTTTGTGGATGCAGCCCAAAAAAAATGAATGATCTTAATGCAGCTAAAAATATGCCATTGACAGAGATAGGTCTCTGCTTCGGTCTTTCAACTCTCCATGCTTGGATTAAAAGCATGGAATGGAATGTCTTCTTAAAATTAGTTATAAATTGACAGTGAAAAAGTGGGCTACAAGAACTATATCTGAAAAGAAAATTATTCAAGAACGAAAACAGAAAATCCAGATAAGGTTTCGTGATGAAGTTGGACTGATAATTGATATGCCAACATCTGGTGGCTCTGGGTCTTCAAATAATGGAAACACTGCTAGAAAATTTTTTCAGAATGCAGAAAAGTCTGCTCAAATTCTTGAACTTGATGTCAGTATGATAAAGATGTTGCATGTGATTTTGTGTACATTGTCATCTAACTTTCTAATTGATTCTTCACTATTTAGAGAATACTGCTACAAAACAGCTGAGAAGTATGTAATCCTTTATCCATGGTATCATATGCCACAGAGTCTGCATCACATTCTTATTCATGGTTGGCAAGTTGTAGAGAGAATGGCTTTGCCTATTGGCATGCTCAGCGAAGAGGCACAAGAAGCTCAAAATAAAAATTTTAAGAAATTTCGAGAATCATTTTCTAGAAAGTGTTCGCGTTCCAAAACAAACGAAGATTTATTAAGGCGACTAATGTGTTCTTCTGACCCTTTGATAAGTAGTTTGAGAAAACCCCATCATCCTAAGAAAAACGCTCTTCCAAATGGAGTTTTTGATCTTCTTAAAGAGGTTCCAATTTTTGACTAAGTGTCAATGACATAGTTTTGATTTTCGTTGGTGTTTAAGATGGTGTTTACTTTATAAGTATTTAATATTTACATAATAAAATAATGAATATAAAAGTTTGTTTTCTTATATATTCGTTATAAAATTTTTTGTATCTCTAATTGCATAAAAACTTGCTTATTTTTATATGGTTGCTAAGGGTAGCAACCATATAAAAATAATAATGTCTAAACTACACAGTTAAAATTTAATTAACTGTTCCTGTAAACCTTTATAGTTAAGAGTGTTTTAAAAGTTTTTATTTCATTTTTTAAAGAAATTTTGAATTAAGAAAAAGTTTCAAAAAAAATTACCAACTGGTTTCTATGTAGCATTAATATCAGTTTAGTTTATAACTTTGATATTTTGAGAAAGTCTTTTTATTTAGGTAACTATGCAAAATGCCTGTTGACATGAAATATAGGTATCCATGGCAACCAAATAAACAATCTAATGGTGCCATTAGATTTGTTATATGAAATATACTCAAGCTGCTAATTATGGGAAAAACCTGATAAATATTTTAAAAGTTATTAATTTTGTCCAGCTAATAATGATTTTGGCCCACTGTGCAATGTAAGAGTTTTAAATTCAGATGTTAGTATTTTGGTCCTCTGAATTGAAATTGAAAACTCAGTTGCCGCATAATAACTTATGGATTGTATGTAGGTGTTACTTGAATGTCTAGTTAAGTATTTATTCTGATTAGTTTTGAATAAGAGATCAAAAGTTTTTGGAATAATACTTTTATTAATTTTGAACATAAAAATTAGAAGATGATAAATATTTATTTGGTAGATATTTAGTATATTTAACTTAGTAAATAAAGGTTGGTTAGGTGTACTGCGGTTTTTATTGGATATAATTCTGATTGCATGTTTTTGTATATTAAAGAGTTTTTTTTTATTCATTTTTATTGGTACTACACCATGCAATATTAGCGCAATTAAAATAGAAATAAATAAAAGAAAACTGTAAGAGTTTTGAACAACTTGAATTCAAAAAAGGTTTTGCCCTATAGAGTAGGCCAATGCTACATGATATTTTACCTTCAGTATATTTTATAGGATTTCTCCATGTTACATTTTCGTCAAGGAGTACTCCTAGAAATTTTAATGATACCTCTCTTTTTATTTCGCCATTGTTAAAACAAAGATTTGGATGTTTTAATGGAACTTTGTCTCGTTCATAATAATGATGGAAAAAAGTATATTTTGTCTTAGTTAAATTTAGAGATAAATGGTTTGAAACCATTCAGCAAGGTATAGTAGTTCTGTGTTTACAGTTTTAAATAATATTTTTATATCATTGTGAGCATAAAATAGATTAGTATCATCTGCAAACAAGATTGTGTCTAACACATTACAAGATTTGCTTAGATCATTGATATATACTAGTACTCCCCAGGATATATTTATGTTGTTAGTTTTTCCGTAACTATGAAAAGTATATTGCTGTCTATTTGACAGATAGCTTTTAAACCATTTAAGGTTTGAGTGTTTAATACCGTATTTTTTTAAATTAGGTTAATAAAATATGATGATTTACAGTGTCAAAAGCCTTGCTGACATCAATAAATACGCCTAAAGTATATTTATTTTCATGAAAAGATTTAAGATTACTGTGAACAAAATGAACAATTGCCTGATCAGTAGAGTGACCCTTATTAAATCCAAATTGTTTATTATAAAGAATGTCATTATTATCTAAGAAATAGTATAGTCTTTTATAAATAATATGTTCTAATTTTTTGAGAAGCATGGTAGTATTGAAATAGGTCTTTAATTTGCAATACATGTTGCATCTCCAGATTTTCAAAGTTAATTTTTCTATAAAAAGTCTCAAATTAGAGTTAAATTCAGGAATATCTTCAACAATAGCTAAGAATTGAGACCGTTGAACGCCACTATTTAAGTACTTGTCTGACTCATCATCTTTTTGACAATCAAAGACATTAATGGTTACTTTAAAAAATGAACCTCCACCATCTATTGAAATCGTTATAAAAGCTGATTTTATTTATTTGATGTGTGTTGAGAGTGAGGTGACCAAACAACTCTCGTTTGATGACAACTCGTTAAATAAAAAAACCAATAGCCATTCAAACATTCAATTCAATTAATTTTCTATCTATCTTTTACAGATGTTCATTTGAATGCAATGACTCGGTCATTGAGTGTTCTCGTTTAGAATCATTGCGCTTTATCACTAGAGAAAAATGGTTTAAATTATTTACAAAGAAAAGCCATGTAGAAGGTAATATTTATATTTCCTTCAAATTTTATTGAAGTAGCATAGCCTATAATTAGTTGCACATATCCTGTAAATGTTTACCCAGACACTCTTATTTAATATTGGTTGTTTGATTTTCAATTTCTTCTTTCTTTAGGTGTAACCAAGGAATCATTTTTACCTCCTCATGCTTTAATTCCATTCAGATTGCTTTCTAAACAAACAGCTATAAGCAAAGCCTTAATGCATCATAGATGGTTTACATCGCTAAAAAAGACTGTTCCTAAAGTTAGGACAGTAGCTGAAGAGCTCTATGTAACATCTGTCTGGACAACATCTTAAGTATTTTCTTTGTTAGGGGATATTCGACAAAAATAGAAAGATACTATTGCCGCCAAAGAAAATTGCAAACAAGTGCGATTGACAATTGCAGAAAAGTATAAAAATACACCTACAGCTGTTTTCAAAAGAAAATTAGGCTATGATGCTAAGAAAACCACAAAATTAAATCAGAAAAATAATGTATACTAATTTAGTTTAAATAGTACATTTTTTTTTCAGGTTATTTAGGTGCTCCTAGAAATCCTAACGGTCTTATCAAGGAGCACCGCGGAAGTACATTTAACCAGGAAGTTCACGCCTCTTTCCTTACCGTAATGCGAAAGTATTTCCAAAGCTCGTTTCCAACCTGGGTCTCCTGCTTATAAAGTAAACACTGTAATTACTGCGACGCGGCCGCACATTGATATCAATATTTTTTTAAATAACGATAAAAAGAATTATTATTAAATAAATTCAAAAAGAAGGGCTTAAAAGGTTTTAACCATATCCTTTTATATTTAGTTAATAACAGATTATAAAAATCACATTTATAAAAAATCGTTTTCATGTGATTAGTATTGTTGTATTACTGTTGATGTAAAGCAACGTTATTAACTCAAACGTTCAATATTTATCAAACCTTTATATTTCTTTTAAGCAAAACTCCGGTTCAAAATAAAATGGGATCAAATCAAGACGATTGCGAGGAATTTAATTCTTATAAAGGTAACTTTTAATATAAACGCCAAATGTTTTTTTGTTTATGTTTTAATAAATGATAAGTTGATAAAGAATTTAGATTTTAAAAAAAATTTTATTTATTCCATTTATTAAATTTAATAAAATTCTTTTTTGCGTTTTGAAGTGGCAACCATGTAGATTTTAATCTACAATTCTGTAATTTGGAGGTTTGTTTATATCGCAAATGTTTGTATAAAAGATAAAACATGCTACCTTTTTAATGCAAATTTTGTTATGTGTTTAAAATTTTTTTTTTTTTTATATTTATATTTTTTTAAATTTATTTAATAACAAAATTAAATTAAAAAAATATATTGTCAATATGTTTAAGATGGATTAGATCCCTTACCTAAACTCAGAGTTATAGAACCCCGCGGATCTGGAACCCCAACAATAAGAGTTCTAAAGAACTGGTTTTCGAACTCCTGTTGTAAAATAGGCTTCCTAAAACTTTGTGGCTTTAAAACTCTTTAAACTGGGTTTCTTAAATCAGGGTACTGGATTTTAAATTTTAAAAAATTCAAGGTACTTTGATACTTTAAAATTATTATTTTAACTTAGTTACGCATAGTTCCAACATTGATAAATATGTAATGAAACCTAGTTATTTGGCAATAATTAAAATAAACTAAAAGAAAAAATGCTACAAATTACTTAGTACCTAGGAAAGTTGCAACACAATATTTTGAAAGTATAAGCCTTGCAGAGCGTACAGAAAAATTACTAAATATGCAGTTCTTTTTTTAGTTTTTGAAAACAGTAAAAACTCTTTTTTAATATCAGCAAATTCATCTCTGCAACTTGGCAAATTTGGACATTTCGCACTTTCTAATATTTTATGTAGTTCTTCTTCCAATGTTAAATCTTCTGCGTTTCCTGTAGTATTTTTGTTATTTTAAGTTGAATGTTCCTGTTCATAATGAGTGTTTTGCTGTTCTTCATCCCCATCATATAATCTTTTCATTAAATCTGTAATAAATGTTTGTATTTTCTTTGAAGGCATAGTACCATTGCCAAGAGAATTTAATAGCTCTTCTAATTCTTGGTTTTTACGGCTATTTATTTGAGTTTTCATCGTCATTATTAGTTCTCTACTTATGTTACCATTAGATTCTTTTACTTTTCTTAACATAAAATCAATTGCTAATCGGGCTGTGGCAATATTAGCATCGTCTCTGCTAAGAACTTCAACTGTTAATTTAATAGGCTTTAGAGTATTTTCCAATTCATGTAATAATTCAATATTAATATTTTCTATTGAATGTACACTTCCAATATCTTGAAGAGCTTCTTTAACGATATAAATTAATTTTAAAAATCTACATACCATTTCAAGCAATGAGTTCCAACGAGTTCTTACGTCTAACACTAGCTGACGTTCATTTTCTAAAACTATTTTGACTTTTTCTTGCAAAATATTATTTTGCACAGAAGAATTTTTAAAAAATTTAACAATTATACAAACATTTTTCATATTTTTTTCTATATTTCCTAAATTTGTCAATTCAACATGTTTGTACTCTTCGACGTCATCACCGCTCTCGTCAGAATAATAATTTTCATCTTGATTATCATCAATACCATCTTGACCATGGTCATCACCATCACCATCAATACCATCTTCATTTTGCAAGACGGCAATATTTTTCTTTTTAAATAGTTCATCACAAACAGCTAAGAGTATAGTGTGATTCAAACACAAATTATAGAGTCTAGGAGATTCTTGTCCAAATTTTATCATTACACTTGCACCGTCGCCGGTTGAACCAACTATATGTTTTTTAAATTTAATATTATATGTGTTTAAATGTTGTTCTACTTTTTCAACTAACTGTACAGCTGTACACGAGTTAGAAATTCTTACTAAACCCAGATTATACACTTCAAAGTCAATTCCATGCAAATTGATACTTAGATATTTCCAAATTTTTATACTCGTCCAATCATCAAGAGTAATGCTAAATCGTCGGCCTTCTTTAACTTTTTCTTGTAACAATTCTAATACTTCCAACTTCTTTTTTTCATAAAATTTATGAATTAAATTCATAACACCTCTTTCGGCTTAAGGAAGATTATAATTGATTTTACTAAACTTTCACGAATAAAACTAGACTTTGCAATCGCCCTAATAACTGATATACCATCAAGAGCGGCTAATTTAGCGACAATTTCTTCTAAAGGCTTTCAAGAAAGCCTTTAGAAGAAATTGTCGTTGAACACCTACTGCATTTACCACTTTTCAAATGAGTACATTGGGTGATATAGTCTAACACTTTTAAATTCTTCGGCATAATAGCGCTGTATAAAATCAGTGGCGGAACTACTGGACGCAGGACCCTGCGTTGCGGGGGGGGGGGTCTACCAGCTATAGGGAGCTCTCAAAATGTCACATTAAACGTGATATTCTACTTTTTTCCTAAAATGAAGATATTATTCAACTATTTAATTAGCAAATGAAATCTTTTTTTTTTTTAAATACGCGCTAAATGAACTAACTTATTAACTTCAATTTTTCTAATCAAAAGTTTTTATATTAGCGAATGCTTTTAAAACAATCGCATATGCAATAAACAGAATTGATTAGAAATTTATGAGGTTAGTGTCTATTCGGACATACATGGAGACATATATAAACTTAAATGTTCTCAAAACATCAAAAAAGCCGTGGTCTAAATTTCAAGCTAAAAAAAGATGGGGATACAGTGTGACGGCGTTCCGATGCGTGCAGGCAAAACCGGAGTCAAATCATGAGACTTGTTACTGCGCATTCATTTACATTCACTTGAACGAGTCTGAATTTTTTGTGTTATGTATATAAAAAGCTAAATGACTGTGTATTGTTATTCCAGTGCGTAGCAAGTTTGGTTTAAAGTCAGATCAACTTGTAGGCTTTGTCTACGAAAATGATGGCACAGAAGTTGATGAAGTTGATTTTGAAATAATAAAACATTTAGCATTTCCATCCGTGTTCAACGATAATATCAAACAAAGATGGAAATACTTCATCAATGATTAAACATTTAAAAGTTAAACATGGAATTTCTTTACCAATCCGTGAAGAAAGCGGAGAAAATTCCGCCAACAAACGGCTTAAAACTATGGACACTTTTGTTTCTGTTGCAAGAAAGCCTTTAGAAGAAATTGTCGCTAAATTAGTTGCTCTTGATGGCATATCAGTTATTAGGGCGATTGCAAAGTCTAGTTTTATTCGTGAAAGTTTAGTAAAATCAATTATAATCTTACTAAAGCCGAAAGAGGTGTTATGAATTTAATTCATAAATTTTATGAAAAAAAGAAGTTGGAAGTATTAGAATTGTTACAAGAAAAAGTTAAAGAAGGCCGACGATTTAGCATTACTCTTGATGATTGGACGAGTATAAAAATTTGGAAATATCTAAGTATCAATTTGCATGGAATTGACTTTGAAGTGTATAATCTGGGTTTAGTAAGAATTTCTAACTCGTGTACAGCTGTACAGTTAGTTGAAAAAGTAGAACAACATTTAAACACATATAATATTAAATTTAAAAAACATATAGTTGGTTCAACCGGCGACGGTGCAAGTGTAATGATAAAATTTGGACAAGAATCTCCTAGACTCTATAATTTGTGTTTGAATCACACTATACTCTTAGCTGTTTGTGATGAACTATTTAAAAAGAAAAATATTGCCGTCTTGCAAAATGAAGATGGTATTGATGGTGATGGTGATGACCATGGTCAAGATGGTATTGATGATAATCAAGATGAAAATTATTATTCTGACGAGAGCGGTGATGACGTCGAAGAGTACAAACATGTTGAATTGACAAATTTAGGAAATATAGAAAAAAATATGAAAAATGTTTGTATAATTGTTAAATTTTTTAAAAAATCTTCTGTGCAAAATAATATTTTGCAAGAAAAAGTCAATATAGTTTTAAAAAATGAACTTTAGCTAGTGTTAGACTTTTAAAATTATTTTATATCGTTAAAGAAGCTCTTCAAGATATTGGAAGTGTACATTAGGGTGACACAAAGTAGGGTCGAAAAATAAAATTTTTCAAAAATCAATTACCGCAGTTGCTTATCCTGTTCTACAACATTCAGTTAGTTTAAAAATAAAATATCACTTGTTTTTATTCGTTGGAAGTGCTACGTGTAATTTTTTAAATATTGAGGATTGGCTGAACTTTATGTCATTTTTTACGGATTAAAATGTGTTTATATCTAAACTTTTGTTTGATCTTACAAGAAAAATACTGTTTATAGTTTCATACAGTTAGCTATTATTTTACAATAATTTTTCAACTCTAGGTTTTAGCTTTACCAGTTCCTTAAGCGACATATCTTTTGTTATAAGCTTTCTGTGCTATCTGACTACCAAAAGAATGTTCTGTCTCTGATCGTCATTGTGGGAACTGTGAACAAAGTTTTCAATTAAACTAATATTTCTTTCTGCGCAATCGTTGGTCACACTAAGGTTGCAAACTAACTGAGCAAAATTTTTGTATGAATCTAGCGCTAAGAAATCACTTGAACTATGCCACTCTCGAACAGATTCGGTGTGACCTGTAAGTATAAAAAATAGCCAATTTTATAATATTTCTCCTTCGTAATTAAATCCCCTAATCGACTATCACTGGTAACGTTAACAGCAGAAGAAGCTGCGACAGAAATCTCTGATAACTCAGGAATTGGAAATTGTAAAAGTTTCTGAATGATTAAACGCTTAGCATCTGCTTTCATATAAGGATCACCTAACGATAGTACGACAACTTTAGGAGAAAAATACCATGTGTGGTTACTCAGGCTTTTTTGAAGTGAGTTTCCAACTTCATAATCCCATTCTGTTTTAATTGTTTCAGCAACTTTGAATACATTAAAATCATTCAGAACAGCATGCTCTGCTTTGCCTGAGTTAAGAAAGGCAGGTCCATAATAAATAGCAACAATAAATGCTACCCTTGAGACCGTATGTTTTTTTTCAGGAATCAGATATTCAACGACTGTGGATGTCATATCGAGCATTAGAAAATATATTGCATAGGCCATAAACCTTGCATTGTGACAGGCGCCAGGCTGATAGATGTGAAAATTATTTAATTTCTCAGACTTAACATTCATGTAATACGCCAAGTATTCAACAAGATGCCTGTAATCATTCCTAAAATATTCCTAATTTTATTTAACAACTTTAAAAAAAAAAGTATATTTATGAAAAAACTAATTCATTTTATAATATTTTTACATACCTAGGGAAGATTTCATGTTCTAGTGCTTTAGTAACAAACTTTTTAGACTTCAAATAGAGTTTGCAGAGATCACTGCCAACAATAAGGTCTTGCTCAGGAAATCGTTTGAACTTTTCTACAGCACCACTAGTTGAAACTTTAGGAAAAAATTCTGTTATCTATTTCTGCTGAAAATCTTTTAGTAACTTATTCGCAGGGGCTTTAGGCATTTCCATTGAAATTGCCTTTAAAGCCCAAGTAATATTTATTTCGGCAATATGGTGTCTACACAATAACCAAAGAAATGGTTTACCAAGAAATCTTGCCATAATAGTGATTGCACCAGATTTCCATCCAGTGTTATTTACTGTGGTGTCAGAACAGAATCCTACAATATAGTCACAAATTTTAAAATATTCTAAGAGATTCATAATACTTATAGCCATATCGATTCCCTTACCAATATCAGTTGGCACAACACCGAGTAAAAGATCATCTTTGGTTTCAAACTCTGGGCTAGTAAAAGATACTGATAGTCTATCTGCAGTAGTTGCCTGTCTAGTGTCCTCCTCAATATGCTTTAAAATTTTACCATCAAAATGTAAAACTAACATCTTGTTAGCCATTAAATTAATATATTCATTACGTATCTGGCCTCCTTCCTCTTCTAAAAATCTGTAACGTCGCCTTCTGACAGATTCTCTGCTTAACATTAGCTGTTTAACATCTCCTCCTAAATAGTTTACTACGCTTGCAATAAGAAGGGTTTGATCTCGAATGCTGAGACCAGCCCTTATACTGGTGGAAGTTGTTGCTGCAATGAGACCTTCACTGGTTATCTCCTTTTCTACTCTGAAATATGATGGCCTAAACTGATGCCTACTTTTTGAGCTTGCTTCGTGAAAATTAACATTTTTATTTGGGACAAAATCTTCCGACATTAGCAATTAAACTTCAAGCATCTAAATTAATATAAAGATTCTTAGCTTAGCTATACATTTACTTCAAAAAATTACTAGTTTTGCCTAAAATGTCCGTGCATTATTAGAAAAAATTGTTTATATTCTCTCTTTTTATTTAGTCATAAGTTGAAACAAATATTTTTATGTGTTTAACAAATTTTTTTTAATATTACCTAATTGTGATTCAGCTCTTGTTTTTTTAGGTTCTGTAGGTTCCTCACTTGCGAAATTGAAATTTATATCATTGTTAGGAAAAAAGTTGTGATTCCGTTGCCTTTTTTCCCCAATTTTTTCTTTGTTGTCACGAATTATCGAATCGTTGCTCTTCTTTACTCGATGTTTATATTCTTCTTTCCTCTTGCATCTATCAATCTTTCTCTGAAACCTTGCTTCAAGCTCTGTGTCAATTTTAGAAGATATGATCATATTTCTGTTAGTTCTGTGCAAAAAGTTGTTAAAACACTTAGCGTAAGATAAATTTGAATAAAAAAATAAAATTTCTCAAAAAAATAATTTTTTTATATAAGGGAAAAATAAGTAGATATATCATAATTTAAAAATAGGTTAAATCTTCGCAAAAAAATTTGAGCAAAAAATACCTTTGATCATCTAAGAAGGCCAAATCCTCTTGTGAAGCAGAAGTATCACGAGGCATTGATTCATCGCGTCTCAACTTCATCTCAAAGTCCTTCGCACTGATGTCAAACAATTGCTCTACCATATTGTAAAAGTCATTTTTGTGGCGTTCGGAAATTTGCTTTTTGATTTGAAAGGTTTTACTGTTGCACAAAGTTTTGTATTTGCTGTATAGAGATTTAAACTTTTCCACTATACTTCTTTCAAAAATTAAGTAATTACTGAAACCAGCAGACTTCCAAATATTTACAATTTGTCGGAGTAAACAGTATTTTTCGGTATTTGAATTACAAAACTCGTCTTTCCCTTTACATATAACATCCTCTCGTGCTCGAGAACATGAAAAGTTTATTTTAATAGGTTTGAATTGCTTATCTCTAGCTAAAGTTAGGAACAAGTAATATCAAAGAACACTTCTATTTGATGGAAGTTGGTTTGTAGGTAGATAGCTTAAAGGCGAGTTAAGCAGGTAAAAAGTTGCCAAGTGATTAAACGCAATCCACTAAGTTTATAGTGCAATTAAAGTTTTTAAAAAATAGTTGTGAATGACCACAAATGTTTTAAAAACATCTTGAGTTTTTGACACATGTTTTGAAAACTTGCTGAATGATGTAAAAATAATAAAATAATGTGAAAAAAAAAGGCTTGGAACGTAAAATTTTTAAATTTACATGTAGCTCTTCCTGATCACTTAGGGATTTAAAAATTTTTTTGTAGATTTCCGAAGTTTGTTAAAACAGGAAAATGTACTGCGGCTTTTTTTTTTTTTTTTTAATTTTGTGTCACCCTAGTGTACATTCAATAGAAAATATTAACACGGATGGAAATGCTAAATGTTTTATTATTTCAAAATCAACTTCATCAACTTCTGTGCCATCATTTTCGTAGACAAAGCCAACAAGTTGATCTGACTTTAAACCAAACTTGCTACGCACTGGAATAACAATACACAGTCATTTAGCTTTTTATATACATAACACAAAAAGTTCAGACTCGTTCAAGTGAATGTAAATGAATGCGCAGTAACAAGTCTTATGATTTGACTCCGGTTTTGCCTGCACGCATCGGAACGCCGTCACACTGTATCCCCATCTTTTTTTAGCTTGAAATTTAGACCACGGCTTTTTTGATGTTTTGAGAACATTTAAGTTTATATATGTCTCCATGTATGTCCGAATAGACACTAACCTCATAAATTTCTAATCAATTCTGTTTATTGCATATGCGATTGTTTTAAAAGCATTCGCTAATATAAAAACTTTTGATTAGAAAAATTGTTAATAAGTTAGTTCATTTAGCGCGTATTTAAAAAAAAAAAAGATTTCATTTGCTAATTAAATAGTTGAATAATATCTTCATTTTAGGAAAAAAGTAGAATATCACGTTTAATGTGACATTTTGAGAGCTCCCTATAGCTGGTAGACCCCCCCCCCCGCAACGCAGGGTCCTGCGTCCAGTAGTTCCGCCACTGATTTTATACAGCGCTATTATGCCGAAGAATTTAAAAGTGTTAGACTATATCACCCAATGTACTCATTTGAAAAGTGGTAAATGCAGTAGGTGTTCAACGACAATTTCTTCTAAAGGCTTTCTTGAAAGCCTTTAGAAGAAATTGTCGCTAAATTAGCCGCTCTTGATGGTATATCAGTTATTAGGGCGATTGCAAAGTCTAGTTTTATTCGTGAAAGTTTAGTAAAATCAATTATAATCTTCCTTAAGCCGAAAGAGGTGTTATGAATTTAATTCATAAATTTTATGAAAAAAAGAAGTTGGAAGTATTAGAATTGTTACAAGAAAAAGTTAAAGAAGGCCGACGATTTAGCATTACTCTTGATGAATGGACGAGTATAAAAATTTGGAAATATCTAAGTATCAATTTGCATGGAATTGACTTTGAAGTGTATAATCTGGGTTTAGTGAGAATTTCTAACTCGTGTACAGCTGTACAGTTAGTTGAAAAAGTAGAACAACATTTAAACACATATAATATTAAATTTAAAAAACATATAGTTGGTTCAACCGGCGACGGTGCAAGTGTAATGATAAAATTTGGACAAGAATCTCCTAGACTCTATAATTTGTGTTTGAATCACACTATACTCTTAGCTGTTTGTGATGAACTATTTAAAAAGAAAAATATTGCCGTCTTGCAAAATGAAGATGGTATTGATGGTGATGGTGATGACCATGGTCAAGATGGTATTGATGATAATCAAGATGAAAATTATTATTCTGACGAGAGCGGTGATGACGTCGAAGAGTACAAACATGTTGAATTGACAAATTTAGGAAATATAGAAAAAAATATGAAAAATGTTTGTATAATTGTTAAATTTTTTAAAAATTCTTCTGTGCAAAATAATATTTTGCAAGAAAAAGTCAAAATAGTTTTAGAAAATGAACGTCAGCTAGTGTTAGACGTAAGAACTCGTTGGAACTCATTGCTTGAAATGGTATGTAGATTTTTAAAATTAATTTATATCGTTAAAGAAGCTCTTCAAGATATTGGAAGTGTACATTCAATAGAAAATATTAATATTGAATTATTACATGAATTGGAAAATACTCTAAAGCCTATTAAATTAACAGTTGAAGTTCTTAGCAGAGACGATGCTAATATTGCCACAGCCCGATTAGCAATTGATTTTATGTTAAGAAAAGTAAAAGAATCTAATGGTAACATAAGTAGAGAACTAATAATGACGATGAAAACTCAAATAAATAGCCGTAAAAACCAAGAATTAGAAGAGCTATTAAATTCTCTTGGCAATGGTACTATGCCTTCAAAGAAAATACAAACATTTATTACAGATTTAATGAAAAGATTATATGATGGGGATGAAGAACAGCAAAACACACATTATGAACAGGAACATTCAACTTAAAATAACAAAAATACTACAGGAAACGCAGAAGATTTAACATTGGAAGAAGAACTACATAAAATATTAGAAAGTGCGAAATGTCCAAATTTGCCAAGTTGCAGAGATGAATTTGCTGATATTAAAAAAGAGTTTTTACTGTTTTCAAAAACTAAAAAAAGAACTGCATATTTAGAAAAACTGTATTAAGCGTTAATGACGATAAAACCAACGTCAACAAATTCTGAACGAACATTTTCGGTAGCATCTAACTTCTGTACAAGAATTTGTTCTAAATTATCGGGCAGCTCATTGAGTACATTAGTTTTTTTAAAGTTTTATTTTTTAAGTAAAAAATAGTTGCTCTAGTATGTATTAAACACTTATACGTATTTTAATTTAGTTGAGTTTAATATTGCTAGTATATTTGCACGCTTTTTTTTATAAGATATGTTTGTATATACTAAAGTAATTTTTTTTTAAAGTAATGTCAAGTTTATTTCGTAGTTTAAGATCATAATAAAGGTATAAGTCCGATAATAGTCATTTTATTTACCATAACATACACCATGTCTATTTTTGAAAATGGGCGTGAGAACAAAAAATTATTTTATGCTATTGTTAAAATTGCAGGTTAAAAAAAGCGTATTAGACCCGGACTCGAACCCAAACCCGATAAATATTCGTAGGCTAGGCTCGGACTAAAATAGCCGGGTTTTCCCAAACTCTAATAGTTAGTGCAAATATTGCATCCATGCAATCAAGTAACATTAGTAGAAGTCACTAATGAGCATCATCTTCTGGAATTAGGTTTCTAATCGTTAAAGGCAGATTTCTTATCAAACACCATGATTCACAAGCTTGAATGTGAATATTTTTTAAGTTATTTTCAGGTGGTTTGCTGCTTTTTTCAGCTAATAAATAGTTATAATTATTGATTACATTGTTGATATCTGCAAGCAGAAAATATTTTTTGTCTATCAGTGATTGCAAAACCAGGCATATTTCTAAAGTTACGACACCTTCTAACACATCTTGCATGCAGTCAACTGCACTCTGGTCAATGCAGTGAAACTGTGACAAGCAATTGGAAGGAGAACCATGTTTAATGCTAGATTCTGAAGCATTGTAGTTATTGTTTCTACATTCTGATACACACATATCATATTCTGCTCGAGTCCTCCTAACAAACGTTTCTGCCTTTAATTAAGTTTGAATTTCACAATGTGCACACTTGCAAAATCGACAAAAAAAATTTGGTGTTAAAGCTTTCCATGAGCCAAACAAAGTGTGTGCTCCTAAATTATCAGAAGAAAACAAAATTAAAATGGCACTAATAGTTTCTTCCACTCCATTAACTACAACAACAACACCCTGTTCACTTTCCAATTGTTGCAATAAAGATACAACACTATAAGGAATTGGATAGTATAAGTATTTATCTGTGTGTACATCTAGCGCATACCATAAATCTATCGAAAAAATGCTATCAGTTTTAGGCTGATACTCAGGAGCAATATTGCGTATTATCATATTTAAAGCTTCAAGTTTATGTACACAGGCTCCCAAGCACATTTGTTACTTCAAACGCATCAATAAAAAAGTGTAGCAAAAATGTTTTTTGGTGCAGTTGAAGAAATAAATGATGGTGAAAAGTATGTGTATCAGCAAAATCTTGTATTTTATTTGGGAGTGAAAATGGTGTGCACTGTGGGAAAACAATCCTTGATGAAGCTTGTTTCAATATCTTGGCAAGTAGGTTATCAATAGGCACAACGTAGCATTTGTCCTCTACTAAAACAAAACGCATCGATTGCAATGCCGTAGAGTATTTTTGCTCTTCACGTATATCCAATGATATTTCTGTTGCCTCGATATAGTACCCATGTTCTTTTAGCTATTTGTTTCTTTTATATATAGTGTCAGTTTTATTGAAAATGCTAAACATACTTTCGACATCTTTTATCGCATCAAAAACAAATTCATTAGTTGGAGCTACTTTCAAATTAATTGCTAAAGTTTTTATTGTCATTGAAGCATAAACAGCAACGTCATTTATATGGCCAGACATATTTTCCGTAACAAGCTGTAAATTAGCTAAAGTGATGTTTGGTTTTGAAGTTATTTCTGATACAAACTTCATAACAGATACTTCAATACTGTCTCTTGTTGTAGAATTAGAGTTAACAATTGTGGCATTATTACAATCTTGATTTAGGTCATCTGGAAAATTTGTGTCAAATGCGTCTTGATGTGACTCACTTCGTAAGTTCTTGCTGCAACTTTCATTATTGTTGAAGCCAAAAGTTTGAACTGGCACAACAGAATGATGGTACAGGAAATGCTTTTTAACTTACTAAAGCTTAGGAATACTCTTGGGCAATTATTAAACATACAGCGTAATTCAGATCCTCTTGTTGGTAAGCCATGAAAATTCCAAAAATGGTAAAAAAGATTGAATAAATCTGCAAGATAAATTGAGCATGTAAAACATTGCATGTTTGTTTTAAAATGTTTTAACATTAATAATGAAAATAACTAACCTTAAAGATACATGATAATATTCACTAATTAAAATTTAATAAACTAATTAAACAAGTTTTTAGTTTCAAATAAATATTAAGTGTTCAAAGTAATATATATGAACTCCTTTACACACTTGAACTCCGTTAACTTAACAAAGTTATTCTGTTAAATTATATCTAACGGAGTAACCCGTTGTAAAATAACGGATTACTCCCTTAATCCGTTGTAAAACAACGGATTACTCCCTTAATCCGTTGTAAAACAACGGATTACTCCTTTAATTTGTATCAATTAAATCTGTATTTTTTTTTATTATTATTTGAGTTTTAATGCTATGTTTTTTTATACAATGTTCTTATATCCGAAGATATTGTTGGCTTAGCATAGGAACAGCCACAAATAGTCATTAAGACTAATCCAAAGTAGGGTCCGTAATTGACCAACATTTTTGCGTACCGAAGTACTATTCAAGCGCTAAGTTGGCGGTGGCGGGATTTGAACTCGTATTGTTCAACAGTCCGGGTTTTCACTTTTCCTTTAACGCTCTAACCATCTGAGCTATCCCGCCACTTATTCTTTACGGAGTTTAACGGAATGAGTGTCAACGGAGTTACTTCGTTGATATTTTCAAGGATTTTTTTTTAGAGTGTAGCAGTACATTAGATATTAGTTGATGAGGTTTTAAATTTAAACAAATGTAATATTAAAACTTTTTCAAAACTTCTTATTTAGATTTTTTTTTAAATATAAAAAAACGCGTCACATTTTAAATAGCTTAAGTTGAAACTTTGTACGTGAAAAATTATATTTATTTTAATAGAAACAATAAACATTGAGGTAACTAAACATTTAATATTAGGTGTTGATCGAGACGAATTGCTTAGCGAAATTCATCGCTATTTTTTAAAAGATACAAAGAAGTCGACTGTCGTATTATATGGAATGTCAGGTGTCGGAAAGACACAAATTGCTAGAAGATATTGTGAAGTGTGTCATAACTTCTATAAAAACTTTGTTTGGGTAGACGCAGCATTTGGAAAGTTACAGATTTCAATGATAAACCATTGCCACTTATTAGGACTTATTATTCAGGATTCGAAAGGCGATTATTTTAAAATAGAAGTAATAGTTGAAAAAGTTCATAACTATTATAAAAATGAAAAGACTTTGTATATTTTTGACAATGTCGACGACGAAAGTGTTAAAACTTTGAAAACGTACATATCAAAAAATTCGAATTCATTTAACCTGATTACATCACAATGGAGAACGTGGTCATATAATGTAAATAAAATGCTTATCAATGTATTTTCATCTAAGGAGGCATTCGCTTATGTAAAAAATAGTATTAAAAAATGCACCGATGAAAACATAAAAAACTTAATTAAAGAACTTGGTTATCATCCGTTCGCTATATCTCAGGCTATAAAATATATAAATATGCATGAAATTTCGATAGAAAAATATATAGATCGTTATAGATCGAAACCATTAGAAATATTAGACACTAGTAATTTTCCAACTGATGACGAACCAAAGTCTGCAATAAAAGCAATCAATTTAGTATTATTCAAATTGCAAAAAACTAAAAACTTTTTATTTCAAATACTGAACTGTTTATCGCATTGCGATATTCAAAATATCTGTAAAGAATTTATAATTCAAATGTCAAATCACATGAAAATTAACGACGAACATTTAATAGATGAAGCCATTGGATTACTAATAAGTTATTCTTTATTAAATTGTTTTGCTGACAAAAAATATTCCATACACGAACTGACACAGTTGACATGTAGACATTTTCAAAGTAAAAACTCAAGTACAAATACGTATCTTGATTTAATCGAAAGTTATTTTAAATTTGAGTTAACTAAAGTAAACGATCACGTAGAATACGGAAACCATTTTGTTTTTCATTTTCTCTATATGTTTCGTATTAATCAAAAGATAATGTCAAAAACCTTCCACCAAATGACGACTGCAATTAATAAATTATTATTATGTAAAGGTTTATTCGATGAAGCAATTGAAATATTAAAAGCTATTCAAATCTTTAATACAGAAACTTATGGTGAAGATAATAAAATCACGCTTGATACAAAGCATAGTATCGCACACTGTTTTTACAAAATGGCTAAATATAAAAAGGCTTTAGAAATTCATTATTCTGTTGATAAAATTAAAAGTGAAATTTTAGGTATCAACCATCCAGATACAATGACAACAAAACATAATATTGCACTCTGTTTGTACGCTATGGGTAAATTTAACAAAGCTTTAGAAATTCATTATTATGTTGATAAAATACGAACTGAAATTTTAGGTATCAACCATCCAAATACAATGACAACAAAAAATAATATCGCAATCTGTTTGAACGCCATGGGAAAATATAACGAAGCTTTAGAAGTTTATTATTCTGTTGATAAAATAAGAACTGAAATTTTAGGTATCAACCATCCAGATACAATGGCAACAAAAAATAATATCGCACTTTGTTTGTACGCTATGGGGAAATATAACAAAGCTTTAGAAATTCATTATTCTGTTGATAAAATACGAACTGAAATTTTAGGTATCAACCATCCAGATACAATGGCAACAAAAAGTAATATCGCACTTTGTTTGTACGCTATGGGGAAATATAACAAAGCTTTAGAAATTCATTATTCTGTTGATAAAATAAGAACTGAAATTTTAGGTATCGACCATCCAGCTAAAATGTCAACAAAAAATAATATTGCAATCTGTTTAAACGCCATGGGGAAGTATAACGAAGCTTTAGAAGTTCATTATTCTGTTGATAAAATACGAACTGAAATTTTAGGTATCAACCATCCAGATACAATTTCAACAAAAAATAATATTGCAATCTGTTTGCACGATATGGGAAAATACAACGAAGCTTTAGGAATTTATCATTCTGTTGATAAAATACGAACTGAAATTTTAGGTATCAACCATCCAGATACAATTTCAACAAAAAATAATATCGCAATCTGTTTGCGCGATATGGGAAAATATAACAAAGCTTTAGAAATTTATTATTCTGTTGATAAAATACGAACTGAAATTTTAGGTATCAACCATCCAGATACAATGGCAACAAAAAACAATATCGCAATCTGTTTGTACGCCATGGGGAAATATAACAAAGCTTTAGAAGTTCATTATTCTGTTGATAAAATACGAACTGAAATTTTAGGTATCAATCATCCAGATACAATGTCAACAAAAAATAATATCGCAATCTGTTTGTACGCTATGGGAAAATTCAACGAAGCTTTAGAAATTTATTACTCTGTTGATAAAATAGTTACTGATATTTTAGGTATCAACCATCCAAATACAATGACAATAAAAAAATATATAAGTTTATGTTTGAGTAATTTAAAAAAATGAGAAACGAGTTGTTCAATTAATTAAATTTTATTTTTTTATACAATTATTAGTTTCATTATTCTGCTAATAAATATATATATATATATATATATATATATATATATATATATATATATATATATATATATATATATATATATATATATATATATATATATATATATATATATATATATATATATATATATATATATATATATATATCTTTGTTTTCTATTTTTCAGAAAAGCTTCAATCCATTTAATTGTTAGACCAGATATTCCATAAGCTGCTAGTTTTAGTAACAGCCTTTTATGCGGCACTGTGTCAAATGTCCTAGAAAAATCCAAAAAAAACATTTTCTAAACTGGTAGAAATGAAATCAAGTGTATCAAGTAGATTTGTTGTGCATGATTTACTTTTAACAAAACCGTACTGCTGCTTGACTGTGAGTTTATACTCATTCAGAAAAATTTCAAGTTTAGATTTTATTATACCTTCCATTATTTTACTAGCAATTGAGGTGAATGATATCGGTCGGTAGTTTACTGCTAAGGTTTTTTCACCTTTTTTGTACAGAGGAGTAATATTTGCTGATCTGAATTGCTTTGGCAATTTGCTAGTTTCAAACAATTCTTTAAAAATATATGTAAGTGGAATAGCAAATGCTGATGCACAGTTTTTTAAAATAGCTAAATGTAAGTTATCAACACCACTTGATTTGTTTTCTTTTAATTTTTTTAATCTTGAAAAGACATCTTCATATTTAAAATCTTCTGTCGTCATAATAAACTTTTCATTTGTTCTTACCTGAAAGAAAGACAGCGGACCATCGTCTTATCTCACAAATGCTGCTTGAAAGTTTTTGTTTAAAATATCCGCAATATATTTTGGATTTTAAGTGGTTTTACCATCCGTTCCTTTTAATGCTTTGATTGAATCTCTGACTGCTCATTGATTGTTTATGTAGCTGTACAGGAGCTTTGGATTCTTGGCAGCTCTTTTTACCAGATCATATTCAAAGTTTTGTCTAACTTTTTTGATCTCATGCTCTACTTTTTTGCAAATCATTTTGTATTCAAATTTTAGAACAGGGTCTTTCCATTTATACGAGCAATTTTTGTATCTTAAATTTTGCTTGCTTCTGATAAGAACTTTTAAACTGGCATTTACCCAGGCTGGTCTGATTTTTAGAGAGTTGATTGTCATTTTAGTAGGAGTGAAATGATTACATGCCACTTCTGTGTAATAAATAAGTTCATAAACATTTCCTGAATGTTTTTATTGCTAAAGCATCTTATCCAGTCAACATTTAAAATTAAGTCAGATATTTTGTCAAATATAAATCTTTGCTTGCTTTTATAGTCACTGACTGCTTTATCAAAAGATAAAATCATAATATATTACTAAATGACCTCTCTTTATATTTCCCAGAACGAACTTTGAGTCTATTAAACTAACACTTGCTGACTGAGTTGTGAAAACTAAATCTAAGGTATTTATAAGTTGATCGTCTGACAGCTGGAAAGTTGGTATGTTGATATGCTGGTAAAAGAAAAATTTATTTAAAATATCTAAAAATTTGTGTTCAATTCCATTCTCATTTGAAATTACATCTACACAGCCATTTGCCCAGCTAATAGATGGAAAATTGAAGTCACCCATGAATAAAAATTCTTTGAACTTATTTTTATCAATGAACTCACGTGCACGTGAATACCAGATGAAGTTCTGTTATGTCTATAAAATCATTTGGCCTGTAGATGCAGCCAAGCAGTCAAGCTTTGGTAAAGACTTGTCCTGTAGATGCAGCCAAGCAGTCAAGCTTTGGTAAAGACTTGTCTTTACCAAATTAAACTACATATATATATATATATATATATATATATATATATATATATATATATATATATATATATATATATATATATATATATATATATATATATATATATATATATATATATATATATATATATATATATATATATATATATTCATATATATATATATATATATATATATATATATATATATATATATATATATATATATATATATATATATATGTTAGAAACAATATAGTCACAATATAGTCGTTCAAATTTCATGAACAGTGTTTAATAAACGCACAAAAATAAAAAATTATGACATAAAAATAAATATCGTAAAACAGGTTTTGTTAAAAGAAGAAATGAAAAGATGTAAAAATATTTTTCTTTCACAAATATTGATATTGTTTACATTTATACATACACATTTTAGTTTATTATTTAAATTAAGAAATACTCATTCTTTGATTTTTGGAAATATCTTTTTCAACTGTGTTTAATTAACGTTACCGGCAATCTCACTTTCGATGGACATTAAAAACAATTGTCACCGTCGATCTTGATTCATAGTGGTTCTTAAATCGGTTTTATTCATTTTAAGGTTAAAAACACTTTGTTTTCCTGATGCATTAGTTATTAGAGAATTGGAAATACACCCAACTACTAGTTTTTTTTTATATATGCTAATGGTGATAAATTTTCAATTATAATTTAAAAAATCCAATTGCTAACGCATAATCATTTATTTAAATAAACTTTTTTGAAAAAACATAATTAGGCAATGTAAAGAATTATTGAAAACTGCTATTCTAAGAAAGCAACCTTTTTTTTATGCAGTCTGAAGTAATAGGTGTTTAAAAACTCTGGTTTTGCATCTAGTTCGCTAGCCAGCTCCTCAGCGTTCATAATTTAAAAAATTTTCCAATAATAATGATTTCACTGAATGCTTTTCACTGAATGTTTAAGTGACTGAAAAGATGAACAATTTGTAGAAGAACAAAAATAGATAAAAAGCGTTTTTACAAACTTATTATTGCTGTGTTCTGTTTTTACAAATTTATTATTGCTCTGTATCACTGAATATAAACGATGTGTATTGAGACTCAAAATTCGGCAGGTATATAACATACAGAATATAAACGATCAGGCTGAAATAAATGTTGCATAAAAGTTAAAACCATAGGCTAAAAACATCAGTCAAATTTTAACTGCTATAGTTTAAAGACGTTTTTTTCGAAAATAAAGAACATTCTGGTGCTGAGAAAAAGTTTAATTACTCTGAATTGGAGGCATTACTTGATGAAGACCCATGCCAGTAAAGCATGAGCTAACGGAAACATTGGGAGTCAATCAATTAATAGTTTCTATGCGCTTAAAACAACTGGAAATGATTCAAAAGCAAGGATATTGGGTGCTGTATGAGTTGAAGCTAAGTAACTTTAAAATACATTTTTTCATCTGCGAACAACTGCTCGCGCAACAAAAAAAAAAAAAAAAAATTTTGCATTTTTGATACTGGTGATGAAAAGTTGATACGTAACAAAAACCCCAAACGTAGAAAAGTGGGGGTCAAGCGAGCCGTCAATACCGACAGCGAAACCGAATATTCATGGTTTTTAGCTAATGCTCTATATCTAGTGAAACCAGCTCGGAGTAATATGTTATAAGCTGCTCAAAGCGAACGAGACGATTAGAAAAGACTGTCAAAACTATAATTGATCAAGCTAAGACAAGCGTTAAAGTAGAAAAAGACACAACAAAAACATGATACTGTTTTTCTTCAACGTAACAACGCTCAACTTCATGTTGCAACTGTTGTAAAAAAATACCTAGATAACTTCAATTGGTAAGCAGTACACAAATGCCGTATTTACCAGACACTGCTCTCTTCAAATTTTCTTCTTATCACAATACCAAAAACGGGTTGATGACTGGATTGCCTCAAAAAACCAAGACTTTTTACAGCGTGAAATCTGCATGCTACTTGAAAGATAGAAGCATTTAGCGTCTTGGATATGAAATTTAGGGTAAAATGGGCCTTGGATTTCTTCCATATAACATTTTATTTATGAAAAGCTGCCACTACTGTATTCTAATGCGTCCGTTCGGGCAGTTTTAAAGAAACGTTTTATTTACATGATTCACGCACACCAAAAAATTTATATCAATATTAAGTCTGTTTACAATAGAATAGATAAAAGCATGGCAACTAATGTTTAAAGAGCCACGTTTTCTTTGTGATATAGCAGCTTGCCAGTGATATCAGCAGCTTGTCAAATTTTTACGTTTATAGACAACAAATGCCCAAAACAATCCTAGGCCCCCTTTAAAGAACAAATGTTTCTTGCTGTTCAAAAAAAGCAAAAAACTAAAAATCTTTCAGCACGTGCTGAAATGAAAAAAAAAGAATTCTTTCTTATTTTAAAATTTAATGCATTTTACTTATTGCAACCAGATGGTGATAAGGCTTCATCAACCTCAGGTTTTTTAAAAGATTACGAGAAAATGGATGAGGATAAAGCACCTGAACCTTGTGACTAAGATTTCAATCCTAGACTATTGCCTTTACACTCATCGCAAATGTGTATGAAACTTACTAATACCGTTTTAATAAGTCAAAGAATTGAGGTATTGTTTCAAGCCATGACTGTGATAGCTTTCAGAGTTTTACACGACGTTTCCCTAGTCACTAAATTGGATACATCTTTTGTAATTGACAAGAAAAAAATTGCTAGAGAGAGTTGTTGAACAATAAAAGAACTTAAAAGTAAAAGTTCGAATATTGATAATGATCATTTAGTAGATCAGGAACATGTCTAGCTATTGCTAAAAGTACTTACAACTATATCACATCAGAAGTGCCAGAAGGTTTAAAACATGTTCTTGTTCTAGTGTATGATATGGATAATTGTAAAAACTGGAGTTCTTAAGGGGCCACTGCGTTGTCTTGAACTTAGTATTAAAAGATTAGTGCAATGGGCATTTTGTTAACTGCATTTCAACGAACTTCCTCCTAGCTATATGTTCGATTTTCTTGATGGTTCTGCCTCCGGACCTACTTTCTACATCGGTTGCATCAAAAATTCTTTAAATTTCTGTGAGCTGCTTCTAGTAGTAACATTTAAACCAGTTAACTGTACTTGCCATCATTTGATGTACCAAATTGGAGTATGGATTAGAGGTATCTAAAG